TTACTCAAAAGGGTCATAACTGGTGACGAATCATAGGTATATGGTTATGATATCGAAACCAAAGTCCAATCGTCCCAATGGAAGAGCACAGATGAGCCAAGACCGAAAAAAGCACGCCAAGTTCGATCAAATGTCAAAGTTTTGCTCACTGTTTTCTTCAATTACCATGGCGTGGTGCATCAGGAGTTCTTACCATATGGACGTACGGTCAATAAACAGTATTATCTTGAAGTTATGCACCGTTTGCGAGAAGCAATACGAAGAAAACGCCCAGAATTGTGGAAAAACAATTCATGGCTTTTGCATCACGATAATGCCCCTGCTTACTCATCTTTGCTTGTGAGAGATTTTTTGGCCAAAAACAACACCACAATCATGCCTCAGCCACCATATTCATCGGATTAGGCCCCATGTGACTTTTTCTTATTCTCAAAACTAAAGAGACCTATGAAAGGACAGAGATTTGCAACGATTGAAGAGATAAAGACTGCATCGCTGGAAGAGCTCAAGGCTATACCGAAAAGTGCTTATAAGAAGTACTTTGAGGATCGGAAAAACCGTTGGCATAAGTGTATTGTATCTGAGGGGGATTACTTTGAAGGGGACAACATAAATATTGATAAATAAATAAATATTTTTTCTTAAAAATACAAAGTCACCTTACTTTTTGAACACACCTCGTACGTACATCGATGTAGTCATCAATGGCAATTTTAATTCTTACATCATTGCTGAACTTTAGTAAGTTCTGTCTCTTTGCGATCTAATAGACATTAATGCCCTAAAAGTAGCCTTCCTTCAACCAACACATCATTCTATCGCAGACAATGGCTCCGTTACCCATACTATCCTTGAACTTTTGATAGTAAACCGTACTGCACTTATACAAAAATTTTCACAATTTTTTTCCTTTTTCGACCCATTTCTTGACTTAACTAAACTTCATCCTGCTTTCTCTGCTCCTTGTAAAACAATAAAAATCTTGTTTACGACCGCTTCATAAAATTAATAATACTGCCCTAAACTGATTATGCAAAAGCATTATGCAAAAGCTCTCACAACATCATAACTCTATTTCCTTCTCTAATATTCCTTCATCTTCAGTTGACACCCTAGAGCGTATTTTTTCTTCATCTGTTCTTGATTCATTTGATGAACTTGCACCGATGCGTCTAATAAATATCTCTCCTAAAAGAAAGCCATGGGTCTCAGAAAAAATTTGCTCTCGTATGCATTCAAGAAATAGCGCATTTCAGCGCGTCAAGGACACTAAAAATCCTGCTGTCTTTCATCACTATAAAGCATTAGGAAATTCAATCTTCAGTCAACTTCACACTGAAAAAAAAACAACTATGTATCCTTTGAACTTCAACAAGCAAAACAACTTAAATCGAAATGGCAAGTGCGTTTCAAACCGCCTACCATTCTTCTCGGCCCAAAACCCTGCCAAAACAGATCCTACACAAGGTATTCTCTGTAACATTATGATTTATTAAACGCGTAAGGGGAAGAATCGTATTTGATTATTCCCATGAGTCTCACACTAGACCCGTGCATAAGCGCCGCGTTACTAATTATTTTTAAGGGGAAAGTGCGAGAAGCTCATTCGCTCCACTGTAAATGTGACGATGGACCTCGTCACGATGTTGGCGGCTGGGTGATATCTTGAGAGGATGGGAACGACAGGTGCACACAGTAATGACTCTTCGATTATATTTATTCCATTAACTTGTACAAAAATAGAGACGACACGGATTTATGCAGGATTTACGCATTGTTCTTTGTCGTCGCGTGTCTTCGCTTATGCGGAAGAATGCACGGGGGCACGGTACAAGAATAGCTTTGAGAGGCGACGAAGGATGGATTTCGCTGTAATCGCCGTGCTCGCGGATGATCACGGCACTTCGTCGTCGCACACTCGCGATTAGAAAGGGAGAGAGAGAGAGAGAAAGAGAGAGAGAGAGAGAGGGAGAGAGAGAGGGAGGGAGAGAGAGAGAGAGGGAGGGAGAGAGAGAGGGAGAGAGAGAGGGAGAGGGAGAGAGAGTGAGAGGGAGAGAGAGGGAGAGAGAGGGAGGGAGAGGGAGAGAGAGGGAGGGAGAGGGAGAGGGAGAGAGAGAGAGAGAGAGAGAGAGAGAGAGAGAGAGAGAGACGATCTGCCCCTAAGAAGGTGCTGATTGAACGGATGTTGCAGTCGCTGGCAGGTTGATATCAGGCTGGCTCGAAGTATCTGTGCTTTGGACAATTTTTCCTCGCCGTTTATGCCCAAAGTCGTCCTCAATCCTGGACTTTGCTGCTCTGCAATCGGTGATTCTGGAAATCGATGGCTTTTCTCTTTAACGTGCACTCCCGCCTGTCACGGTCAATGTCCTTTGATCCCCGCCGCACGTGTGCCGGCTCGAGCAACGCCGGTGGTTTCACTCTCGCGAGCGGATCGTCGCGGGTCGCTCGCGCTCGTTCCCTCATCTTACGAAATGTATCTTTTCTCTCTTTTCTCGCCGCTACCACTCTCACTCCCAATTGGCTCTCACTAACAATGCCGGCCACAGATATTGGTCCTGAAATAAAGCGTTGCGGGCATCGGTAGTGGTTCTTGGCTTTATCACGTTCGCCATGGCCACAGCGAAGGTGCGAGCCATAGGAGAGAGAGCGAGGAAGTCAGGATCGGCCATTTCAGCCAGGGCTCCGTCACTTAGTTTTAAGTTTAGTTATAGTTCCGATCAGTGAACAGGATGCTAATTCCTCTGCCTAATTGTAGAATTTTCTTGTTGCCATGTACATTATTTTAAACACTTATGTAGTTAATGTATGTACTCTGAATAAATATAATAAAAATATATAGACACATCCAATAACTCTTCACTAAAATAATTAGAAACTACATACGAGGGTGGTCCGATAAGTACTTACCGCCCGATGGCGCCACTCTCGCAAAAGAAATATTCTATCACGTAGTACAACCTTCTCGATGGTTACTGCCAAGATTTCAGCCGGATCGGAGTTGTAGTTTATTTTTGAGAGCGCGTGAAAGCAAGTGTGTCCGTTGATTTTTGAAAAATGGAAAAAGAGCAGTATCGGTCGGTGATTCGATTCTTGATTTTGGAAGGGAAATCGCGCTGCGAAATCAAAAAGCGCTTGGATGCTGTGTACGGTGACTCTTCTCCATCGATGGCGACCGTCAAAAATTGGTTTAACGAGTTTCAACGTGGTCGCACGTCGATTTTTGAAGAGCCACGTCCAGGTGCTCCGAAAACGGCTACCACGGAATATAGCGTGACAAAAATGCACGATCTCGTATTGGCAGATCGACGATTGAAGGTGCGTGAGATAGCTAAGATCGTAGGCATCTCAAAAGACCGCGTGGGTCATGTCCTGCATGAGAAAGCTGTCGGCGCGGTGGGTGCCGCGGTTGCTCATTCCGGACAACAAGCGCAACCGTGAGACAACGTGAGAGCAATGTCTGACACTGTTTAAACGCAATCCGAAGGAGTTTCTGCATCGGTTCGTGACAGTCGACGAAACATGGATCCACTGGTATACACCAGAGACCAAGGAACAGTCGAAACAGTGGACTTCACCCGGCGAAAGTGCTCCGAAGAAGGCGAAGACTGCCCCATCGGCCGGAAAGGTGATGGCCACCGTTTTCTGGGATTCACAAGGTATGATCTACATCGACTACCTGGAGAGGGGCAAAACAGTTAGAGGGCTGTACTATGCCGAATTATTGGGCCGATTCGACGTCGAATTGCAGAAAAAACGGCCCCATTTGGGGAAGAAAAAAGTGCTCTTCCACCATGACAACGCACCGTCTCACACCTCCGCCGTCGCCATGGCCAAATTGGTCGAATTAGGCTACGAACTGTTGCCCCATCCACCGTATTCTCCAGATTTAGCCCCGTGCGACTTCTTTTTGTTTCCAAACTTGAAAAAGTCACTCGCCGGGCAGAAATTTGAGTCGAATGAGGAGGTAATCGCTGCCACGGAAGCCTACTTTTCAGACCTCGAGGAAACGTATTTTTCAGACGGGTTAAAGAAGTTGGAGCATCGCTGGGCCAAGTGTATCGAACTCAAAAGAGACTATGTTGAAAAATAAAACGCCACTTTTCCAAAATTTTCATTTTTCTTTTGTAGGCTAAGTACTTATCGGACCACCCTCGTATTCTAGAATAATCCAATCATCACCTTTAAACATGAGAGAACAAACTCGTATTGCACATACATACACACAACCACATCTAACTCACCAACATATATTCAAGGAAAAGAACCGATTAAAGTCTGAAAATGTCATATTTGATCAATGATCGTACATATACTACTATAATCTATTATTCAATCGGAAACTTCACTCAACAACTTACACCAGTGCAAAATGTTTTCAAATTTCTACTAGAAATAAAAATAACAAACATTTTGTAATATACTTATTTTATACTCATTGTATAATTTATTAAATTAGTTATAATATGTGATTATAAGAAGTGTAGGTTATATATACTTAGAAATATATACTTAAAAAATGTTAATATCGGTCATACCTATAAATAGGGGTGCTACAGTAAATAATCTTATTTTGAATTATCTTGTAGATTAGATACAATAGATTACAATTCTATAGGTTCTCCACATTGAACCGTAAAAATGAAACCATAAACTTGATTATTTGAAAAATAATTTAAATGCTTTTCGTAAACAACCCCTGCATATCTGCATACAGGTGGTATGTTCCTAATTATAGCTTCCTATATAGAAAAAATGCTAAGAATAAATAGGAATAGTAAATTCACTAAAAGAATTATATCTGTATAAAAAAATTTTTATTCATGGCAATATACTTGACTTTGTCAATGTTCTACTATAATAAAAATCATCTTATAGCAGGAAAACGTTATTCATCTGTATGTGGTATGAATGCCCCATTGGTTATTTTACTCGTACATTAATTTTCTTGTAAAATAATCCTAATAAACAAATAAAATTGCGTTTAATATATTAATTTTCAGGAAAAAGTAATGGAAATAATAGCGGTGCAACAGTAAGCAGTAAAAAATTAATAATTCAAGACTCTGATGAAAAAAATGAACAGCTTCAATCTAAATTTTCGTCTTGTGAAGTTCCAAGTTCTTCGTCATCTGCTAAATCAAGCTCCGAAAAATTAGATCAGAAATCAAATCCAACTTCCATCACATCAGAAGCAGCACCGGCACCTCATGTATCTTCATCAAAAATGACGAGTCATCCAATTATTTCTCCTACCTCGACTAAACCCTCTTTACGACGAAGAAATACCACTGGCCCTGGTATGGTTTTTCCCGCAACTGATCCACCCACTTATTCAAGTAGCATGACCTTTTCAAAAACCAGTCCATTACAGAGTCCGCATTTTGACAAGAGGTTTTTTGATTCAAGCTTAGTTGAAATGAAAAGTCAAGCTAGTAGCTCAAGTACATTAGATTACGATTCAGCTGATGAAATTTGGGTGCGAAGGATAGATTTTATACAAGAACGAAAAAATAGAGTAAGCTTAAATATTGTTAAATTATTTATTAAAATATTTTCATGCTAAATGATCTTAAAAACTATGAACATGTCTAATAAATAAACGAAACCACCGGAAGTAAAGTTTCACCAGGTGGTGAAAATTTCGTTACGAGTGAGCGAACTAATAAGCTAGAATACTCGTACGTACAATGGTATTAGTTATATAATTCAGAGAGTCTCTGAATCTACAGTGCTGTGTAGATTGAGCGATTCTCCAAATGAGTATTGTTATCTAGAACGCGTAATAACAGCTACATTTATGTATAATAGCGTACGTAAACGCATAATCAATATATCAAGAAACTTAAATTAATTTTGTAAAATGAAACTTTTAGCAAATCAAAATACCAAGTATCTCTAGTATTTTAATTAATGAAACATTTTCATGTTAAAGAACTAAGAATTGAAAGTTTTGAAAAATTAATTATTATGAGATTTTTTATTTAATTTACAACTTTGTAACGAAGGTAATTATTTATTAATTTTATACTTGATGAAGTTCACGAACAAGTACAATTCACTTAATTTCGTATATTTAAATATAAATATAATTATACAAAAATATAATTTTGTATATAATATAAAAGCAATTATATAATATAATTATCAGAGCATTGCACGACATTGCTACCTCTGCACACAGAACTCTCATAACACCTAGGACTTCTTGGACATGCCGTGGCTCAAGATCTTATCAATACCTCGGAATGTATTGCACACGATTTGATTAGATTCTTATGTTGCGATAGAAATGTTCCATGTCTCACTATGTGTGAGTGTGTTTCAGTTAATGGTTCGTAATAATCTGCCCAATTGCTATGTGAACAATATGTCTGCTGCTCGTACATATGCGTTGTCTTTCTCAGCAGTTTTATTTACTCATATGTACACTGAGGCAAATAACTTTTCAAAACATCAACCATTTTTTTAATAAATTAGAATAATTATTTTCTTTACAACAAACAAGACTTTTGTTAAGACACTCTATCGTTGAAGGAATCGTTATTTAATTTGGTTCTCTAATACCTTTCAGACGGAATAAATTGATTAATAAAACAATTTTAATACCCCATAATCTAAAATAATCACTGTAAAATCTATTTTTTTGAAACAATTTTTATAATAAAATTACTTATAAATGATTTTACTGCATTAAAATATCAAAAATCTACCTGTTACACCACATATGTCAACCGTATTCATTGCTTATTACTTAGGTATATTTTTTCCAGTATTTACATTTTTCTGCAGTTTCTTCGTACCAATAAAGATGTGGTTAGTACATACATAGTAGATAGTTACGGTATGAGTAATAAAAAGAGGATCTCATGCTAAAGGCTATATTAACTATTTATTAACTCTACTTCCATGTCAGGTAAAATTTATCTAAAATACTTGTTGTATATAGCATAGCAATTGTAGCAGTTTTATTGAATTAATCTCATATAACCATATGTAGATCATATTTTTCACATTGCACTTCTTGTAGTCAGTCATGTATCAGCCTGGGTTTAATAGTGATATTTTAAAATTTCCTTAATCACGGCTTAAAATTTTTCGTTATACAAGTGTCGTCATGATATTTTTTATCTTAAAGTATTCTCTATAAGCTACAATTTTTTTGTACATAAGCTCTAAAATCTCGATCCTAAGTCTTACAAAAACGCCATTTGTGTAACATCTCAGAAACTAATTTCTCATGCTTTCGTAAATGTCAAAATGAACGAAAATAATTTCAGATAAACTCATTTTCTTTTGCAAAATCTCTACTGTGGTTTGAACGGAGCTGTTCTATTTTTATTTTATTAAAAAATATATAATTTGTAACGGGGTGGTTACCTAGCAAAAATAAGAAAATTAGAAAGCTAACCGCCGCTCCATTAAACACATATAGTTATACGTCTATTCGCCTTTACGTCTGATGATTTTGTTTAAGTGTCTTCTTTCCAACCGAGTTGAACTCACCTTAAGTCACTTGACTTGTGACACTCGATCTATTTTAGGTGTGACCGACTTAATGCCTAATCCGCCTAATCTCCTAGATAAACTCGGATTAAGACTTAAACCTTTACAAATCGAATAAGCTAATAGGACACGAAATTACGTAAACGGCGAATAAAATTACCAAAGTTTTATCAATAAAAACTACAGTCTTTTATGGGCCGCAAGACTAACGCACACGATAGGATTTACAATTATAAATTATAATTCGGTGAGAGAGAGAGAGAGAGAGAATTCGAAAATTGCCGCGAAAACTAACGCTCGGCGCGAATACAAAAAATTTAAGATCGCGATTGACAAAATACTTTCGAAAGTATTTTGTCGCGCAACGATAAAGGGAGGTGCATCTACCTTGCGGTGCAATTACGGTGATCAGCCGTAACTTTTTAAGCGAAGAAATCTGCTCCTCGGATCAATCAGCTATGCTGCCTCGCTCTCGAATCTGCTGCTATCTGCTGCTACTGCAATGCTGCTGCCGCTGCTAAAATGCTGCTGCTTCCTCGTAACTCACGCAGTATTAAATAGTCCCGCGAAACTTCTAATTTGACGGCGAAAGTGCAGAAAACTCCGGCGGTACTTTCGCGAAAACAGCTGCGGCTTAACGCCTTCGGCGTTAAGCCGTAAAAAGTTAGCGGAGCACCAATATCCTACCAACTCCGCTCTGGTCAGGAAAGAAATTAGGCATGGACGACGTGTGCAATGTCTCTCTTTTAGTAATGAGACTCGCTTGCTAGCCGAGATCGTCGCGTCAATTCGGTTGGGGAACCAGAGCAAGAGTGCCCAACCAAGCTCGGCCGCTCTTATATATAAAATCGGTTGCATCAACTCATCGTATCGAACCGTTAAGTGTTTAATTCCTTGACAAATAATGCACGATCTTAACAATTGTTTAATACGCTTATGTAATTTTGGTATAAAAACGTTTGCCTCTTACTGTTTTAACCATGAAGCAAATATTCAAAGTTACCTCCATTTGTTTACATCGCTCTTCAAAAATAACATTCTTTAGGAAGTCCCACAAATAAAAATTTAGAGATATTAAATCAGGTGAGTTAGGAGGTCAATTAAATGGTCCTCCTCTACCGATCAATTTTTCATAGTAAGTCTGATTCAAAAATTCTCGGACAATTAGTGCAAAGTAAGGTGCTTCATCATCTTGCTGAACCCACATTCTTCGTTTAGTTTTTAAATCAATCTAAATCAAATAAGAAAAGTTATCTATTTAGTTTTGCCCCGACTCATTGTAGAGTTTTATTTTAAAACTTAATTTTTTCATATTTACGTTATTTTTTGTCTACTCATTGTGGGAATACGTATAAATTATTTTGAAATAATATTTACTGGCTGGATCAGACGTTTATTTACCTATATAGCTTGGGTACAAATTCAATATTATAATAATATTTACAAGAATGTTTTTTAATAAAAAATAAATTTTTCTACTTCAATAAGTACTGTTATATTATGGGTAATTTATTATAATAATGTATTAATTGTGACGGTAAACGTCGTATTAGCGCTACCAGCCCAACCATGCGGCTACCGGCGAGGGCAGCACCTGCTGGTTGGGGCGAAATATATTGAGGGAATTCGGTACGAGACGCGACGGAATGCGCGCGAATGAAAACGAACCAGTCGAGGATTAGTTATCGATACCTCCAGCTGCTATTAAGAAGGACCAGAGTTTTCCCCGAGTTTTCCGGAGTGCAGAGACAAAAGAAATAAGCTGTGACATAGCCTTACGTCCGGAAAGTGTGCGTGCAAGTGTGCGCGAGTGGAGAGTTTCGCCATCGAGGGCGAAACCGTGAACGAGAGGCATCATCGCCCGCATATAAACATTTGCCGAAAGACTATCATATGCCGTACAAGCCTCCTTCATCTCACTTGTTACCCGTGCGAGAGTTAATAAGGTAAGCTGGCCAGCTTAATTTCGCGTTCGCGATAGAATTTTCTATAACTAATCTCTCGTACTCGACAAGAAAGGCGCATATAATAACTCTGCGAACAATGAGCGGCGAGCGATCCGACACTGCATGTTGTTGTCGTGCGTGCGGCATGTAAACACGCGGGCCGAATACAGTGTAGCATTAAGAGGCAATAAACGTTCTAGCTTGTGATATTAACAATATTTCCGACGTATTTATTTCATGCTAGTAGATAGTTGGTTGACTGACACCCGTTCCCTCCTGCTCTCCGATTTTCGTGTCTGAACGTGTAGGTAATCCCGCCCGCTTTTCTATGCGATCGCGCGCATAAATTAAATAAACGGTATTAACCCCGTTACATAATAAAATATTATTTATAATTTATTATAATACAGCTAGTAAAGATTATTTCGAATTATCTTTATAATGAATGGGCTGAAATAAATTAATATTAGGATTAATTATTAAAATAAATAAAAATAAATTAATTAATTATAAAAATTCAATAGATAACTTTTCATAATAAATGGACTTTAAGAAATCAGCGAAATCGTTGATTTTTTTTAATTGAAATTTGCCCCTTCCGATTGATCAAATGTAATTCTTTAACGTTGTAACGGGGGCAGCGCCTTATTCGGCACTGACGTCACTAATTTATTAAGGGGAGAGTAAGAGAGGCACTTTCGCTCTTTAACAATCGGGGAACGAGAGGATAGGTCGAACGAATAAATAATTTTCTTTGCTTGGAACGTTCAACTTAAATCTATTCAGACAAACAAATACAAAATCAGTTACAATAACGTTTACATCACGCGCACATATACAGAACAACTTAAACTAACGCGGGAGGACGAATGGCCCGGCGACTAAATCGCCTTGGCCATTTACCTCCTTACAAAGGAAAGAATACGTTGAAACCTCTCTACCGCCTTACGATGAGCGTAGCCGGCAAGTGATCGCCTGGCTACCTATCGTTCCTACGCGGCCGCGCATCACCATGAGAGAGAGAAACACCGGGGGAGAGAGATAACCTGACCTTTGTCCTTGGCGA